TGCGGGCAGCGGGGCCGGCTCGCCACCACCTTTCCCTGCTGCCCAGGGGGACCCGCTGTTCTCGCCTCGCTGTTTCAGCTGTGAGCTGGCAGCATGTGTGCCCACCGCAGCTAAGAGGCCGGGCCAGGCCTTGCTGCCCCATGTTGAGGCTCTTGAGCAGGTGCCCCCTGTTCGGCGAGGGAGCAGGCCTGCGCTTCCGTGCTGCTCTCCTGCTGCTTCAACTGGTGGAAGAGCTCCTCTGCTCCTCCTGGGAGCCAGCACCGGTCTGTTGGTGTTTCCTGCCTGGGGAAAACGGCAAGATATGTAGGCTCGTGGCCGTTAAAAAGGGATCCTTGTTCTATCATGAGGATGCTGAGAAAACCTGTGCCGTGCAAGATCTCGGTGTTTAATTGTCTTTTTAACATGAAAAAGGGTGTTAGTACAGACTAGCTCCCACAGGGGGTGTTTAGAACCTAAAATGGCAGCATTCTTTCCCTCTCAGTATTATTCTTTCTGTTTTATGGTTTTGATTTCATTGTTTTCTATTATTCACTATTTTTCTTAACTCATAGTATGGGGCTGACTTTATTGCCAAAATAAAACCTCTTGGGATTTTTCTTATTGGGGACTTTCTTTGTGAGATGCTTTTTTTCTTATTAATGTTATGAAAGATTAGATACAATATTTTACTGCTTATTCTTACAGGGTGATTCATTTTCCAATTCTGTTTTTCCCAGTGGCTGCACTTCCAAGTATTACTTGCTCTCAGTGGGATTTCTTACTAAAGTAATTTCTGCTCTGTAGATTATAAGTGGACAGGATCAATGCAGCTTTCATTTCCAGAAAGATGGGAAGGGAAGAGAGAAAGAAATGTGTCAAATTTAGGTGAGGGTGGAAGTAATGCCAAGGATTTCTACTCCACCACTTAAAAATGTCTATTTAAAGGCACTTACTGCATTAGACTAACAGTTTCACGCCCCAAAGGTGGTAAACGTGGCTGAGGATAAAAAAGCCTTTGTTGATGAGATAAATAAAGCGTCGGTAAAGTCTGAAGGGCTTACCTGGAAGGATCTGCTGTTCTCCTACCAGGGGACCCTGTATCCTGTCACAGTGTGCAGTGCGGAAACGTTCCAAGCCCTGGAGAACCTGGAAGCCAGAAGAGATGATATGGTGCTGGTGTCCTACCCAAAATGTGGTGAATACATTATAAATTGCTTGCTGTAGTCTACAATACTGTAACTAATTAGCTGACACACTAAGAAGGAAAACCATCTGACTGTGGTTGTATGTTGTGTGAGGATATTGGGCATTTCTACTACAATGAGAGACAGCAGGTTTTTGTCCTGCTTTATCTTAATTAAGCAGTCTGTTGCAGTGCTTTTTAACATGGTTTATGTTTCTGAAAGGAAAAGAAGTTTTAGTGTTCAAAGATACTTTTGGCTGAAGAAGTGCGAATAAAGTACATAGTTTTTTATCAGTGGGACAAGACAACTCTGCCAGTATGATAAACTGTATTCTGAAAAACATGTTAGTAGTGTAGTGTACAAAAGCAGTAAAGTTATGCATTAGACTCTTTAAGGTGTAGAAAGTGACATGGCACAGCATCTTTACTTGCAAAATTATAAGCTGTTTCTTGGCATTATTCAGTATCAGCACTGTTTTTTGTTTTGTTACTGCAAAATGGTATTGACTAAGACATACTGGAAGTCTAAATCTTTTAGTCAGAGGTTTGCAGAAAGGAGGAAAGGTGCAACAGGAGCAGTGAAAAAAAACTAATACAACCAAGTAGTTGATTTTGATCAGTTTTATTAAATATCAATTGTGACATGGTTGCTTACAAGGAAGGGATGAGTTTTGCTAATCTAGGAAATCCTATCCAAGCATATGTTTCTTCTTTGAGACCCAAGCAGCAGAAGCTTAGGGTTGTCAGAGAAAATGTGGGTCCAGGGAAGGATTTCATTGCACTAGCATGGTAGTGGATGCGGTCAAGTTGGGCTCTAACCAGAGAGTCCTAGGTCAAGGTCTCGTTCAGCCCATAGAGTTCCCATTGGTTGGCAAGTTCTGATCTGGAAAGAAACTGTGGTGTGTTTAGGGGCTTAAGAAGTACTCCTGTAGTGTTTAGGTTGAATTTGTAGCAGCTGTGAGACAGGACACTGAACCGAGAGAAGGAGAGGGCAAATAAAAAGGAGGGAGCTGGCACAAAATGTGAAATGTGCATCTTTATTTTAAGGAGCCTGCAATTCCATTGGGTTTGGGTCCAGAGTTCTGCTGGACCCTATAAAGACCTAAAAGGTCATTGTGATAACTTGGCACTGGCTTTGATTTCTCAGAGAGTTTGGAAGAGTTCAGACATGGACTTGCGATGCTGATTGCCTCTGAGGTTTAGTAACTCAGTAAACCTCTCTGGCTCAGGTGGAGGGATCGGTAGAGAAAGAGAGAGATCTCACAGTATTGGGCAGTTTGTGGTTGGTCAGCAGGGGGAAATTTTTACCGAAGACCACTGCCAATTGTTCAGTAGGAGAGGGAGTACACAGCTCCCTGTGGTTTGCCGGGGAATGCAGCACCCTGTTACCTGGCAGGCACTGCTGGAAAGGCATGTACGGGAGGTTGCACGGAAGAAATGGGAAAGCAGGAGGGAGGGAAAATGCTGTGTTTGTGCAGTGCAGTGTAGTTACAATCTGCAGGTAGATCTTCTGGAATTTTCTCCCATTTGGATGTTTGCTCTTACACTCTTAAACAGTGCTAAATAGATTTCTTGTCCTAATTTCCTATAGCTTGCAAAGTGTGGGGGAAAAAGGCAAGGGAGGAGCATAAAGAACAAAAAGGAAAGATTATCTGCCCCAGTTTGAAACCAGAAATTGCTGGGCTCCCTTTTGCCCCTTGATGTGACACTTG